ATAGTGCTGCACCCTGTTGGTAATCCTTGTAACTTTAATGCTATTGAACATTATAGAACAGAACCAACTTGTTTAATTGAAACAGCTGTTAAGATTCATTAATTCCATTTCTCATAAGGTTAACATGGGAAACTCCAGAGCCACTGGGGCGGAGCCGATTGGACGGATCACGAAATTGATGGTGTAAAAACCTATTCCATGAAATTCTACAGGTATGTACCAAGTTTCGTGGCAATCGGTTCAGCGGTGTCTGAGTTTATCACTGCCAAATATAAATATATATATATATATATATATATATATACCAACATCCTCTTTTATACTTATAGATGAAATTAACATAAAACTGATAGGCCTAAGTCATCAACATTCATAACCAAAAGCACAATAACATTGAACCATACATAATAAGTATGTAATTTAGGTTTAATTCTTGTGCCAAATTAGTTTTCAACAATACATAATAAGTACATATTTGGTATACAATTCCTATTCTAAATAGGGGCAAATGACAAGTATACGATTTGTATATCATCCACCTTACTATAGTTATTCGACCATACATAATAACTATGCATTTTGCATAACATTCGCATTTCCCAAAAGTATTCAATATGATCTTTAAACTCCATTATAGTTTGCAATAAGTATCCACATGATAAGTCGGCTATGTAGGACTTTGCGCTCATCATGTACACCATAACGCATAACCCGTGGATTAGGTTCATTGTAATTAATTACATGTCTCATCATGTGTATGGTGGAGTCAGCCTCTATGCGGTTTGTCCATTATGGAACTGCGTTGTAAATGCATGATCTTCACTCAACATACCTCACTGTGTTGCATATGGAAGCAGCTAATGAATATTTTATGTTATAACTACTGTAGACATTGTTTTGGAACTTTGACCATCCAAACTTATGGTAGATAGTTTACGATACGATTCGAAGAAACTGCTTCAGAATATTTTCTAGAATTATGGTAGGGGAAAATAAATATAAGTGATTTCAAATATAAGTTTCCAAATTGATTAAGAAAATTAACTTTAACGTGGGTTTTAACTTTTACATTTAAATAGATTCAAGGAAATTGCTTCGAAGTTTAAGAGTTTGTTGTACAAACTGGGTTGAACTACTCTAAGCTTCCCAACCTCGCCTTGAACACTCAGAAAACGAAAAATATTGTCTAGCAAATTATTCGTCGAAGCAATATTCTTCGAGTTTGTTGTAAAAATGAGATCTTCGCAAACATCAGATTAATACTCTATGCGGCGTCCATATGGAGTTATTTTAGAACGAGTTTAAAGGACGCATTTTGACGACGGTCGACGGATCATGCAATAACACGTCGAATGATGCTAGTATACAACATTTGTAACATTTGTATCATTCGCTCTTTTAGATTCTGGTACCATACGGAAGCAATTATACCAGTAGCAGCACTGGTAGAATCAGTGGCAGAGCAACCTGAACTATTTCTGCTTCTTCGTTCTATATTCGGCGAAAACAATAATAATACTATCGAGTTACTTCTACCTTCAATGATACGAAACACCTTAATTGAAATTTGAAACAAAAATAGCATTTTAAATTTGTTTGCAAAGAAAGGAATTCCGCAAAGTCTTTCCAATTTTGCAAAAATATTTGCAAAAGATCATTGTTTTTTGTATTTGAAATGTTAGCACAACTATTGTTAAAATTTAAGACTTATTTCTTGAATAATAATGTCAAAACGCAGAAAATAGCTTATAATTTTTGTGTAATAAACCATTCGTATTTTTGAACTCGTAACTTTAGTTGTTCGTGTGTCATTTAGATATTTTTGCTCAGCTTATGCAATTAATTGTTAACTTTGAAATAAAATTATTTGATTTGGTTCCATTTATGGTTAAATTTGCTTTTAGAAACATTTTGTATTGGGCCTACATCACATCAAGTTATTTAACAATATCGCAAAAGATAAAATTTTCACATTCAACGAATTTAGATTGCATTTTCCTGTCAAACACGAGACACGGATAAGTAATGTTCTTTATTTCTCTGTGTATGAGATATCATGCTAAAACCTTTATCTCGCTACCATATAATTTTTTAATCTGGAGCAACCACCCAATAATACATATCAATATATAAAATAATAGTGGTTTAGTTTTCGTCCCAGTTCAATAAAAAGTTGTAATATCTACAACCATGGTTTTGACGCTTGTTGCGTCATGGTCACGTAGTTAGCAAGTCGAGAAGTATCTTGTCATAGTCAGTCGCTTGGACGTCGTCATATTTACACAAACACGTGACCATGACGCAACTAGCGTCAAAACCATGGTTGTAGATATTACAACTTTTTATTAAACTGGGACGAAAACTATTCCACTATAAATTTATATTTGTCTTACCAGTTCAGGGGCAAGCCACAACAATAAGTAAACATATCAATATGATTGAAAATGGTTTCACAAGAAGTATGAAACCAACCCTTATCATATCACATTTAGAAAATCGACTTCATAACAGGAAGTTTAAATCCAGCTAAATGGGATCTCAGTCTGACGTCTTCATTATCAACAATTTAACAAGCAAGGGAGGGAACTGAACCACTCGACGCTAAAAGTGTGAGCGAACAGCTGATGCGGGGGACCCTTATCAGGAGGAGCTCCTGTGAGTCAAACAAGAATTCAATTATTTGAGCCTTTCCAATCATGTTTAATTTGTAACAGGAAATGCTTTAGTAATTAAATGAACGTCAAAAAATCATAGCCCTTATTTTGTATTCAGTGATAGTAATTGTGTAAATTAATTCCCAACTTTAAATAAAAATCTAAATTTGAAGTACTGTAAAGTGGTTCTAGTTTAGGGAGACAACTACTGGATTTTGATTGTAATGATATATTTTCGTGTAGAATATTAGACTATGAATTGGTCGTCATGAATTTTCGCAAAATAAATATTGGCCAACATTGTATTGTATGTACTTTGACATTTTATTATGTAAAATCGAGATTCAAAGGGTAACAATCGTCTCGAGGATTCCCTTCTACAATACAGTAAATATTTCCTATTATGTAATCACTCGTGTTGTAAACAATCAACAATAAATAGTGCAATAATGTTTTACTAGACTTGCCTTTTAAATTTAGTTTTTTTATCAAGGATATATAGGCCTAAATAAATATTTTAAAAGATTTTTACATAAATTTATTCCTTGATGTCACTGCTTGCTTTGCCCTTACAACCTACAACATATGAAAAATCGTCAGTATGAATGCATAAAAGCTAGCGGAAAATATTACTACTGTATAACTGTTGAAGATAATTAATTCAGTGAAATAGACAGAAAAATAAAATAGAACAGATTAAACAATTAAGTGTATATTGTTATTTAAACGAAACTAAAAAAATAAGCAGTAAAAAATACTTAAAGTTTTAATGCGACTCAAAATTGTCGTCTATAATGTAACTGGTTTTCAATGGTAGAAATACTTAACTACCTATTATTTAACATGCAAATTAATTTCGTCGATAAGAAATAGTGTGTGCGGCTGTTCCAACCTTCATCAAACAAACCGTTATTGTTATACCGGGAACACACAAACGAATGTATCCGTGTAAAACTAAACTCATCAAAAGTCCTTTTGTACAGAGGAAGATTACATCAAACATCGTCGTCTGTTTGTGTGTGGTGTGCCACTGTTTGGGCGACTGAAGCTATAGTGGCATTTTGGTTGTGATGACATATTTATTTGGTATTATACTGGCAAAAAACTAAATAATAGTTTTCCTGTAATCAACTTAGTTTTGTAAGAGAACCAAGATGGAGAGTTTGATATATTATTCTTTTATTCCTCATAATGTAAACTAATTAACTTATTTTTCTATCTTACTCAAGGTAAATACCAAATAAATACCATGAATTATGATAACGGTTTATAATTCACGATTCATTGTTTTCTTCGTCGCGTTTGGCGTTGGTGTTTAGTGACAAATTTTTTCGTGGATTTTTTCTTCAAAATAATGAAGGTGAGCATGGCATTTTAGGGAGTTGGCTTCTACGCGAAATTGTAGCTGGCACTATATGGAAGCTGATACTAGTGTGACTTCTAAAAATTGCGTTCTTAAACTTACGATTTAAAGGTTATTGCACTTAGACCTATTGTAAGTTGCAAATTTCTATACAGAACACCGAATGACAGATAGAGCAATTTTTATGTAGCATATTCCATAATACTTTTCTTAATAATTGCATGAGTTATTCCACTGCGGTTATTGCTGCAACCTATTAGTTTATTTATTTTGTTATTAATTATGTTAACATTTATATCGTTATGTATTGTTGAAATTGTATGGTTTTTCTAAGTTTTTTCACGAGCACCTGTAATATTTGCGGTTTTGTTGTTTCTCTTTATATATTGTTATTTTCTTGTATTCAGCTTATTCTTACAACTATCTCTCATTTATAAGCACTAGTCTTATGAATGTCTTGTCCGAAAGTGTGGACTTACTATCAAAATGGACCTGTCCGTTGGGATGTAAAATATAATAAAATAGAATGCAGATTATTTTGTGAGTAGTGGACACTAAGGACCTTCCTATCATAGTGCTTAATTTTATAGTTTTGACGGTTCAGGATATTTATAGCAGCTCGAATTGTACTGAACTTGGATTGATTTTGAGTTCTCTAATTTACACACACATTGCGATAATGCTTTTACAGAGAGTCATTAATTTCATTGCGATATAATGCGTGCATATAACATTTAAAACCTTTAAATCAAAATCGTTGATAACACACTTAGCTAACTACACCTTTTACACCTTTGTACAATTAAATCCCGCACGCGCACGACAAAGGGAGCACCATCTGCTGTCTGGAATAGGCGAGTGTCAAAATTTGAACAGTAGTCCCAGTAAACAAATGCACGACGGTGGCGCTGAGGGCGACTAGCGGCGGGCGCGGCAACTACCGTCAGCGGATCGTAACGGTCGCGCGCCAGTTGGGTCCAGTGCGTCGAGTGGTTAGGAGCGTCTGTGACGTATTCTGTGCACTTCGTGGGCGGACCATCTGTGGGTAAACTTTGAGAAAACTCCATCAAAAAGTGCAATACACCGCAGTGAGAACAACAGTGGATATTCTTCAGCAGTTTTCCCGTGAAAGTGCTGTGCTGGATTAAGCGCGTTACCGTTTCTTGCGCGAGTGAAATCCTGTTTTTTCGACATGTGGACCCAGTAAACTGTTGCCGTTTTCACTCGTCATGGATTTTCTTCGAGTGGCGTTTTTGGTTGTCACTATCTCTTCAGCATTAGGTGAGTTTTTATATATTTTTCTTCCTGTTTTTAGTACTGTAGTTAAAACTACCTGTGTGCCGAAAGTACCAAAGGCTGTGGAGATTGTAGCTTCCAGCACTAGATAGATAGTTTGTTTATTTTTGTATTTGAAATATTGAATATTGAAATTTAATGATTATCCTAGCCTACAATTTATAAAATTAATGTGACATTCAGCTCATACCAGCGTACAGGTGAAAGGGGATAGAAAAGTACTGCATGATTTCGATTTTGAGGGTCTTCATCATACTTTAAATACCTGTATTTGCCCTTTAATTTGTAAATATTTATTTTAATATTTAGGTTTATAATTTGTGAATATTTATATTGTTACTATTTATTTGTTACTGTTCACTATTTTTACGACTATTAACTATTTATTTCATCTCAAGCTGTGAATGTTTTCTCATCGTAAAGTGGCTATAAAATAAAATAGCCTAAAATAAAAATTTAACTATTGGCATTCATTTTCTTTTATTTTGCGCATATTGAATTTGTTAAACAATTAAATATTTATAATTTATTTACTAATTAAAATTTCCCAAGAAATACATTATAGGTACTCAGTCGTATATGAACCGTACATTAACGTAAAATATTTACATAGACTCAAAAATTCGTATAAATTATGGGATTAACTATTAATATACTAACTCAATAATATAATATAATGTATTTAAATTTCTGACGGATCATTCTTATTTCTAAAAGGACACTCACTGTTTGTCAAACAGAATATGTGAGTTGCCTGGAAGCAATGCCACAATACCAATGCAGCGAGGCATCGATGTGGAAATAGCTATTCTTCCAATTGGAATAAACCGTCTGTAAACAACTTATTGCGTGTTGTTGTCCCGTTTTATGCCTATATTTGTATTGTCAAGGTACAATGACCGCGGTTAAGTTAGAAATATATTTTAGAGCAATACGGTTTCGAGAATTAATTGGTAATTATTAGCCAACCAGTGTACCGGTGCGTCATTTGCAGTTATGATCGTGGTGACATTTTTTAGGGTTAGCCTATAGTTTTTCTGATTTGACATTTTGTTTAAAAATCACATTTTTCTTTTAACGGTTGTTTTAAATTATTACAACGGATTAACTTAATTCCAAAACAGCATTTTAATTGTTATTTATTTTATCATAAGGCCTCTCATTGGTTGCACAGCATATATAATACCTCAGAATATGTATAATATAGCCTACTTGCCGAGTAGTGCCACATTAAACTCATTCTCATAATTGTATTATGGCATTTTAACTGTTAGTGAATTCAGGTTCTATAGTTCCGGTTATGTTCAAGAAAATGTCCCCACATATAATGTATTTACTTTGGACCACGAAACACCCCTGCTAGGTGAACATGCCTATTTCTGGTCATTGCTAGTGTGGTCGTGCATAGAGAAGTTTGTTTTAGTTTTAAAAAACTTTGCCTCAAAAAAGTGTAAGTTTAGTTGGTGTCAAACACGAACCTGTTAAATATTTTTTTTGCTAAGTTACCTATGTGTCGAAGCAGACACTCGTAAGGTATTAAATAGGTATGCAGCCTGTCGTAAATTTAATTCAAATTGTTCCAATATTCGACTCTAGCAAATCTTATTGTAAATTTTTAACGGTCAATGTGCAACGATTGAACTTGTAAAATTTATTCAAATTTAAATGTCGGGACAAGGAAACTCCCAGTTTTATCGAGGACTGTTCGGTCCAGATGACCTGCATAAATTACCATAGAATCGTCGTTGTTACACGTTAATCCTCGCTGCCAACTCTCGGGGTAATGTGTTATTATCACGTCCAGATAGCGTGGTTCCCTCCAGCGATGCGGTGGCGTGTATAGTGTATATGAAAAGAATTTCAGTTTAAAAAAATTATATTAAAGAGTTGTATTAGGATACTTATTTGTTTTAACGTGTCCAGTGGGTTTAAAGATACTGTACGTCTTATTGAATCACCAGGATTCGTTGTGTGAAAGCAATTATGCGTTTTGTGAATCTATTAGACATGTTGTGTTAAGAATGTGGATAGTCCGATATTGATAAGAGTTTTCCAAACAAGATGTAGTGTTATTATCAACTTCAAACAGTGACTACGAGACTTGTATAATGACCGACAAATTTGTCTATTGACAAACTTACCCCTGTAACAGACAAAGAGACAAGAGGCGGTGTTATCACCAACACTACACAGTGGCTACGAGCCTTGTGTGATAATGACCGACAAACTTGTCTATTGACAAACTTATCTCTGTAACAGACAAAGAGACAAGACGTGGTGTTATCACCAACACTACACAGTGGCTACGAGGCTTGTGAGATAATGACCGACTTGGTCTATTGACAAACTTACCTCTGTAACGGACACAGAGACAAGAGGTGGTGTTATCACCAACACTACACAGTGACTACGAGGCTTATGTGATAATGACCGACAAACTTGTCTATTGACAAACTTACCCCTGTAACAGACAAAGAGACAAGATGTGGTGTTATCACCAACACTACACAGTGGCTACGAGACTTGTGTGATAATGACCGACAAACTTGTCTATTGACAAACTTACCTCTGTAACAGACAAAGAGACTAGACGTGGTGTTATCACCAACACTACACAGTGGCTACGAGACTTGTGTGATAATGACCGACAAACTTGTCTATTGACAAACTTACCCCTGTAACAGACAAAGAGACAAGATGTGGTGTTATCACCAACACTACACAGTGGCTACGAGACTTGTGTGATAATGACCGACAAACTTGTCTATTGACAAACTTACCTCTGTAACAGACAAAGAGACAAGATGTGGTGTTATCACCAACACTACACAGTGGCTACGAGACTTGTGTGATAATGACCGACAAACTTGTCTTTTACCCTCCAAACTTTCCGCAACTGTGATGTCTCTGGGGATTACATTTCGCCTCTTTCAAACTTTGATGCACTTTTAATAAGTTTTATGAACTGGGAGATGGTTGTTCTTGTAATTTTAGTGGATCAGAATTTTATTTTAAGCGGTGACAAGATTTTAGATGCCTTACTTCAGTTTGCAAAATAGCTTATGAGGAATAAACTGCGATTTTTAACATAATGTTAAGTTCTACGTCTTATGTAACGGATTTGCTTAGCTTTAATGGGTTAACAAAATGGGATGCGTGGGGCTTATGGGGTGCTCATTTCTGAAAGCAGGCAAATTTCTAGCAAATTGTAAAACATATTTTAAATCTATAAATTAATGAATTAAATTTCCAGCTAAAAGAATGCACTATGTATTTAGAATTAAGTTATATGTTGTGGAAGTTTTTTTGTAGAGGCTTAGATATGTTGCTAGGAGAGTTTGTGGAAATACATAGAATCTACAGGTAGTATGGTGGCAACCTAGCACAAATTAAGCTACGTAGCAAGCAGCCTACAGTTTTTTTTATATGCTTCATATAGAGAATAATATCATGGTCCCAGGCTACTTACAAACGAAGCCGTTATTATTGCTGATCTATACGTTCGTGAGGAAAATAACATTCGGAAGGAAATATGAAAGATGTGGTTTCCAGCTAAGTATGGGTCTGTTCGGCCGGGGCCTGCGTTTTATGCCCACGCCAGCCCCAAAAAACACAAACAACTGCCCCAACCCGTGTAAAAACTGGGACTGATGTCGGAATAATTTTATGTCTTGCCCAGACGAAACATTTTACTTCCCCGGATCTAAATACAGGGTGGCGATTTTTCCCTGTCGCTGTTTTACCGATTTGGAGTGTGGTTTCTTTGTTCACATCGTCTAGACCAACTTACTTTACCGTACTATTGGCAATAACATTCATTGTAACGAAATATGCATGTCTGTTGGGTAAACCCTGACATTATTTATTAGCACTATCAATTGACACCAAGTCTATGGTCAACCCCACAGACATATAGTTTTTCATCTTATAGATACGGCACTACTGATTTATTTGTATACGAAAGAATGCAATAGGTTTTTTATGTAACTTAAAATTTTGTTAATAAAGTTAATTAAAGGTCTATACTAATCCCTGTAGAGTATTAATAGAAGCCTAACCGTATATCCAATGTGCTGATAGAGACCATTTTACCTTATACTGAAGCTATACTATCTTAATTGAGGCAGGGAGATAATTTGATCCGACCGAAAGCTTAATTGGTATTGTACCTATTCAATAAGTAATCAGTGTTAAATTATTTTAGTGGCTCTATTATACCATCTAGGCTACTTTATTGGGGATAAATGCTTGGCGTGTAAATGGAGGTAGTTAAAGATGGCTCTTAAAATAATTTTTCCTTTCAACGTTTTGGTTAATAAAAAGTACAGGCTTAAATGATATTTATTTACAACCGTGTTTTGTTTACATTTAAATACTTTCTTTAATATCAGAGTCGTGTCCATTAATACGTCTAGGGACGTAGAATGAGGTATCTATCCAATATTATACTGTTAGTGTTGTCTGGTCAAACTTTTTTATTTGGGTGTCAAAAATAAAAGTTATGCCTCTTGGGGTGGCGTTGTAATTGCGGGGTATTTTATTTTCTAATGTCAGTGTGTGGGGGAGCGAGCTTGACTAGCGGTTAGAGCGTGGGACTTCGGTCCCTGAGGTCCCGGGTTCAAATCCCGCCAAATCACCAATGGATTTTATCTAAGTGATAATCGGAGTGATAATGCCGCAACCTCTAGTTCTAGCCTGGAGTAGTGTAAAAACCAATACCGGGCTCGTGCCTAGCGTCCTAGGACAAAAAATTGTACCGTATACATTCATGGGTTTTTAACATTACATCAAATATTCAATTTATCTCGAAGGGTTCCTGCTGGCCCCTCTCAGATGCATTTACTTATACAGGGTGTTGAAAATGTCTGGAACCAACATTATATCTGGTGAGTGGTTAAAGAAAAACAACTGATATTTTGTGTACGGATATACTATAGTTTTACCTATCTTTTGTTGCCTTATGCAATTTTTTACCACTTATAGGG